AGTAAGTCAGGTTTGACAGTCTTTTTCCTAAGTTATCTGGCATTTACTCCCTCTTAGAATTTATAATCATTGCACAATATAAATCTAGAGCCAGCCTGTCACTGGGATCCCTTCTGTAATCTCACTAGATGAGCTCCCAGGCCTGAGTAACTCCAGGACTCGTAGATTTGCTGTCTCCTCTTGCTCCAGTAGGCAGAGCCAAAACCAATGGTTAAAAACCACAGGGAGAGAGGTGTTGGCTCAGCTGAAGGAAAAATTAATGCCTAGTACTGTCTGAAAATGGAAACGCCTGCTGGGAAAGGAGTGAGTTATGGTTTCTGGTGGTGTTGAGGCACAGAGCTGACAGTCGTTCGGTGCAGATTCCATGGTAGAGGCTGAAGGGCCAGAGCATGGAAGTGATCTCCACTGGCTATTGAATGCTTGCTCGTGCTAGTGCCTTACAGATGTTTTGTCCATTTAATCCTCATAACAACCCCCAAGGGAACTAGTTATAACCCCACCAGGAGAGATTACAGTCACAACTTAAGATCACACAACTAGAAAGTGACAGAGTCAGGATTTAAACTCAACTTCGTCTGGATCCAAAGTTTGTTTATTCTTTCCACAATTCATGGAAGCTTGAGAAATTGAAGTAGGGGGTTTCTAAGGTCTCTTCCTGTGCTATGATTCTATCTAAGTCAAAATATGGATTTAGGCATCCCTGGCCTATATTTTCCTTAACCTTTTGGCCTCAACCACACAGTAAAATGATCATCTGTGACTCTAAAACAGTCTATGGTCTCCATCAAGAAAGAAACATTAAAAACTCAACATTTGGAAGAGATTCAGGAGGGCAGAGTAGATGAGGCAGTGCTTGCCTTATCCTGTGAATGCATCAAAATTACAACTGAATTATAGAACTATCAACTTGGAGAGCCATCTGAAGTCTAGCAGAACAGAAGTTTTATAACTACAGATATATAGAAGAAGCCATGTCAAGACTGGTAGGAGGGGCAGAGATGCAAAATGGGCCGACCCTCACCCAGGGACCAGTGGTTAAAAATCGGGAGAGATATCTCAGCCGTAGAGGTTCCCCACAAAGGAGCAAGAGACCCCAGCCCCCCACATCAGGCTCCCCAGCCCACAGTACTGGTGTTGGGAAGAGGAGCCCCACAGCTTCTGGCTGTGAAAAACAGTGGGGATTCTGACCATCCAGGTTGCGGGAAACCCAGACACCCTCCTAAATGGCCCATGCAGACACTCACCCTGGGCTCTGGCAGAGGTATGGTGACTCTGATGATGTCGGAGGCATATGGGGAGAGACTGAGTTGTGTAACTTCGGGGCAAGAACTGGAGGGACAGTCCCCATTTTTCCTGTGTGGGACCCTCTTCCCATGTAGCCTACAGGCAGGCACCATCTTTCCTGTGTTGAGCCTGTCCCCACAGGCCAAATCTGAATCTGATTGGCCTGGTTAGCTCCACTGCTCCACCCTGCTGACTCACTGAGACCCTGCCTCACCCAACACCATACTGCAGGAGACTTTATCAATGGCTTAACCTTATGGGATACGTCAGATGGCAACAGGCCTCGGAGTGTCCTAACTTTTTGCAGAGCTACCCCAGCTCTGGTACTGCTGGAAGCTGTCCTCGGTTTGCAGTATGGCCTCTCCCATGCACCTCCAGGTATAGCACAAGCAAGAAACAACCATGGATCACTTTGTAGCTCCTATCAGGTACTCACCAGCCAGTCACAGGCAGGGGTGACCTGGAGCCCTTCTCGAGAGGCCCCAGAACTAACATACTTAGAAGTTGGCTTCAGACCACAGCAGAGCACCACCCAATGAGCTGCATAAGTGACACACCCAAAGGGTGGTCTCAATAGGCAACAGAGCCCACTGGAGTGAACCCTGCTCTGTGGGGTAAGCCCTCCGTACAGCAGCCCATAAGCTGTAGACATGGCCAAACCTCACAGCCAGTCACCCTGAGGGCCAATACCACCCACTGACATGCCAGCATCAATCAAGGCTCAACTATAAGAGGAGGGCACACACAACCCACACAAGGGACACTCCTGGAGCACCAGGTTCAGGTGACCAGGGAGACTGTGCCACTGGGCCCCATAGGGCACCTACTACATAAGGCCACCCAGAAAGACTGGAAGACGTGTGAGCCCTACCTAATACATAGAAACAAATGCAGATAGGCAGCCAAAATGAGGAAACAAATAAATATGTCCCAAATTAAAGAACAGGAGAAAACTCCAGAAAAAGAACTAAACAAAATGGAGGCAAGCAACCTACCAGAGACAGACTTCAAAACAATGATTATAAGGATGTTCAAGGAACTTAGTGAGAAGTTCAACAAAGAGCTAGCAAGCATAAAAAAGGACATAGAAACCATAAAAAAGAAGCAGTCAGAAGTGAAGATTACAATAACTGAAATGAAGAATGCACTAGAAGGAACCACCAGCAGACCAGATGGATGAAGCAGAGGATTGAACCAGCGATTTGGAAGACAAGGTAGCAGAAAACAGCCAATCAGAACCCCCTGCCCCAAATGAGGCTAGTTTAAGAGACCTCTGGGACAACATTAAGCATAACAAGTCTCATCATAGGAAGTACCAGAAGGAGAAGAGAAAAAGCAAGGGATTGAGAATCTATTTGAAGAAATGATGACTGAAAAGCTTCCTAACCTAGCAAAGAAAATAGACATAGAAGCCCAGGAAGCGCAGAGAGTCCCAAAAAAGATGAACCGAAACAGGCCCACACCAAGACACATTATACTTAAAATGGCAAAGGTTAAACACAAAAAGAGAATACTAAAAGCAGCAAGAGAATAGCAGTTAGTTACATATAAAGGGAGCTCCCATAAGACTGTCAGCTGATGTCTCAATGGAAACTTTGTAGGCCAGGAGGGATTGGTACAAAATTTTCAATGTGATGAAAAACAAGGACCTACAACAAGAGGTACTCTACCCAGCAAGGCTATCATTTAAAATCGAAGGACAGATAAAGAGCTTCCCAGACAAAAGAGCTAAAGGAGTTCATCACTACTAAACCATCATTACAAGGAATGTTAGAGGGACTTCTTTAAGATGGGCGAAAAAAATCAAAACTATAAATAACAAAATGGCAATAACTACATATCTATCAATAATTGCTTTCAATGTAAGTGGATTAAATGCTCCAATAAAAAATATAGGGTGGTCGAATGGATAAAAAAACAAAACCCTACAGGACACTCACTTCAGATTAAAAGACAGACTGGAAGTAAAGGAATGGAAAAAGGTATTTCATGCAAATAAAATCAAACAAAAAAGTTGGGGTAGCAATACTTATACCAGACAAAAGATTTTAAAACAAAAGTTATAACAAAAGACAATGAAGGATTCTGTAATCCCACTTCAGGGTATTTATCTGAAGAAAACCAAAACGCTTCTTCCAGAGGACAGGTGCATCCACATGTTCATTGCAACATTGTTTTACAATGGTCAAGAAGTGGAGGCAGCCTGGGTGTCTGTCAATAGAAGAATGGATAAAGAGGATGAAGTACATATATACAGTGGAATATTGCTTGGCCAGGGAAGGGAATGAGTTATAGCCATCTGCAGCAGCAAGAATGGACATGGAGGGAATTGTGCTGAGTGGAATGTCAGAGAAAGACAGATGCAATGTGACTTTGTTTATATGTGGAATCTAAAGAACAAAATAAACAAATGAAACAGAAACAAACTTGTAGATACAGAGAACATTTTGATGGTTGTCAGGTGGGTGGGGGGTTGAAGGGATGGATGAAAAAAGGGAAGGGATTAAGAAGTACAAATTGGTTGTTACAAAGTAGTCATGAGGATGTAGGGTATAGCATAAGGAATATAGTCAATAATATTGTAAGGGCCGGCCGAGTGGCTCAGTTGGTTAAGAGCTCGCTCAAGAGTTTGAGCTCTGAGCAACAGCGGTTCGAGTCCAGCCCGAGCTGAGCAGCCGCTGAGCTGCCAACAGGTAGCAGGATGGCTCAGCTTAAAAAAAAAATTGTAATAACTACGTATGGTGTCAGATGGGTACTAGATTATTAGGGTGATAGATGTTAAGGTGGTTGGGGGCAGGGTGAAAAAGATGACAGGATTAAGTACAAATTGGTAGTTACAAAATAGTGATTGGCATGTAAAATAAAGCATAGAGAATATAGTCAATAATATGGTAATAACTATGTATAGTGCCAGGTGGGTACTAGACTAGTCAGGGGGATCATTTCTTAAATTATACAAATGTCTAGCCATATACTGTACACCTGAAATTAATGTAAGATAATGTTGAATGTCAACTGTAACTGAAAAATTAGAGAGGGGGAAAAGGTGAAGGGCAATAAGTGGTCCAAATTTTCAGGCATAAAACAAATAAGTCATGGGGATGTAACGTAACATGGGGAATATAGTCAATAATATTGTGATAGTGAGGCACAGTGTCAGATGGCTGCTGGACTTATCATGGTGATCACTTCTTTAGGTATATAAATGTTGAATAATTATGGTATATACCTGAAACTAATATAGTATGGTATGCTAACTAGACTATAAAATATATATATATATTTTTTAAATAATAAAATTTAAAAAAAAACTCAACATTTGTACTGTGTATCTCCTCTGAGCTTTTAGCAGAACTTAGTCTGAGGGTCTCGAAGTCTTTTTTTTTTAATTGGGTTGCTGGCAAGGACTGAGTTTACACTATAAAGATCCAGGAGACAAAGCTTTTAGTATTTCTCAAAACTGTCATAATGTATTGTCCTAACATCTTTACTCATCTTACATGTTTTAGAAGACCTTGAAATATTTGATTCAAGGTCAATTTTTCTGGCCTAAGTTCTGAGTCAAATGTTTTTTTAACTATTAGAATTTTAAAAATGGATTAATTTTTTAAATTAACATTAGAATTAGAATTTTAAAGACATTAGTCTGAAAATAAGCTTAATTAACTTATTTTAAGGTAAAGTGGCTTTATATGTGTGTTAAATGTATTTTCTAGATTGAAGCTGAACTCGCCAAGGAAAGAGCCCAACATTTAGTTGAATTTGAGGAGCAAGCTCTTCTCTTTAAGGAAGAAGCTAAACTGGAACTTGATATTGAAAAGGAAAAACACCAAGAAATAATCCAAAAATATAAGAAAGAACAAGAGGAACTACAAATGAAGGTCTGTTGTTATGATTTTCAGTATTATTTAACGGGTTTAAATAGATGTTGGTGACTTCCTCCTAAGAACACTGCAGTATTTATAACTCCAGTAGCTTTCCTGTGGTCATTGTGCCTTGGTTTTAGTGACAGAGGTAGAATGGTTTGGATAGCCTCCAGAATGAATAACTGAGATAAGTTATACAAGCATATAATCCAGCTATGTATGGAATTTTTTCTATTAAAATAACCTTTTTAAAACAGCAGAAATCATATAACCAATAATTAGCATGGTTAGATATCCTGACATATCAAATATCCAACATCAAAAGATAATGAAGTGTTTTACACAATTTAAAAATTTCCAACTAAAGCCTATCTCCTTTAATTAAAAGTATTTTCAATCCTAAATCTTTTTGAATGAAGGGAAATATTTTTAAAATGTAACCATCTCCATAATTTTTGAAACAGTGTATCCTAAACATAATTTAAGGTTTTGTTAAGGTTCCCGTGTGTGTGTGTGTGTGTGTGTGTGTGTGTGTGTGTGTGTGTTAACCAAGATACAGTGGGGAAAACATATTTTGAATAAACTCATTAACAGTCTGTAAATTAAACATCAAATGAGACTTAAGGGCCTCTGTTTGTTGTACAGGGGATATGACACAGCCTTCTCAATAGTTCACTGTGAGCAATAGGCAGGGCCAGCTACACTAGTGTATGACAGATGCAGTATCACAGGGCCCCACACTAAGAGAGGCCTCATGCTTTGGGCTTAATGCTCTGCAAATGCTGTTTTGAAATTCTTAATAATGTTATCTTTCAATCTGTGTTTTGTAAGTGAAGTCCTGTTGGGACAGTGATACACATGCTGGGAACTTTGGGGCCTCGTCCCACCCAAGGCTCCACCTCCCCTAGTAAGGTTCTCTCCTATGCAGGCCTTTTGCTTCCTGGCCCTTCACCCCCCACCCTGCCCCCGGCTGTGCCTGCCTGTCCTCCCCCTCACCTCTGGGCTGCTGTTGCAGCCCTGAATGTCTCCGGGTCCCATCAGCACAGGGATGTCAAAAGGCAGGCCCCACCTTGCCATGGGTTGCAGTTTTTCAAGAAAAAGTCATCAGTCCAGATTTTGTTAAGTCAATTCTCATGATTTTTAAATGTTGATTCCCTTTTTATTTTTATTTTATTTTATTTTTTAGCTGAGCCATCCTGCCACCTGTTGGCAGCTCAGCAGCAGCTCAGCTCAGGCCGGGACTCCAACCGCTGTTGCTCAGAGCTCGCACTCTTGAGTGAGCTCTTAACCAACTGAGCCACTCGGCTGGCCCTTCGATTCCCTTTTTAAAAAATCAAAACGTATTTGTGGCTATGTGAGCCTCCCCTCCCAAGGATAACCTGCTCTGTTTCAGTGTAACCTCCCTTCAGGATGATGGAATCAACTGTCCAGACCCAGCAGTCACCCTCTTCTTTCCTGGGTGATTTGAAGATAATGGAATATTAGTTTATAAAATTACTAAGTGTGGTGAAAACATTTCTTGTAAAAGTTATTCTTAATGTAAATTTAGCATTTGGAACGAATTTTGGATACTTAATTCTTAAATAATGGTTCACAAAATCCTTGGAACTTTGGTCCCTGAATGATTTCCAGATTCTCCGTGGGCTGGTTTCTTGTTGTACTAATGTTTATTATATGACAATATCCGTAGCATAAATAGAGCTTTGCTCTTCCTGCTTTGTGTTCTGTTCTTTGTTTTTTAAGGGGAGAGAAAACAAGCAGTCTTTTCCCTTCTAAAGACTTTCGTGACAATGAGGAAAAACTTTCCCAAGTTATTCTCTCGTCTCTTTATCTAGAGGTACCACCTTGAGAAGCAGTATATTTTAAAGTATTCTGGTATCCTCTAGAACTGCACTACTATGGTAGCCACATGTGGCTACTTAAATTTCAATTAATTAAAATGAAATACAATTTAAAATTCAGCTCATCAGTCACGTTAGCCACATTTCAAATGTTCATTAGTCAGTACTGGCAATAGAGACCTATTGTACCAACTCAGGGATCAGTGATGTCACCGTGGTAGCTTGGAACTGGTCATGGTGAGAGTATTTACATCGTGGAAATTCAATACAAATATGGCTTGTATGTGTTTGTGAGTCAGTAGTTAAACATTTACTAGCACACCACTGTCAATAGCCATGTGGAGCTAGTGGCTGCCATATTGCACACCACAGAATATTTCTAATGTCACAGGAGGTTCTACTGGATAGTGTTGGTCCAGAAGATATAGCCTGGGGTACCTCCAGTTATCATATACAAGACAGAAAAACAATGTCAAAGGAAAACTTATTGGTATAGCATGGTAAGATCTAATAGCGCTGTTCCCCTGTGTGCATTCCCAAGCATCAGGAAGGTCTAGCTCCCAAAACCACCTATAGTGAGTATGGACAGGCACCTGATCAAGACTTGAGTCATTCTTGATAGTTCAATCCAGTCCCAGAGATTTATATATTTCCAAAGTGATCAATGCAGTTCCATTTAGGTGGTAAAAATAAAAGTTGTAGTCTTAACTTCTACAAAGAAAATCTTGGAGGCCTACCTATGTCATAAGATTTGTATTCCTCTGATCAGAAGAGTACACTGATTATTTAGAATAAGCCTCATAAAACCATAAGCACTCTGTAGTTGCCTAGAGATGTTGCCTAAAAACTAATACAAGCTTTATCTTACAGATTTCTGACTTAATTGCGGGCGCTACTAGAGATCTAAGGCTGGAAGTAGCCACTCTTGAAAAAAAACTCCATGAATCCCGTGTCCAATATGCTGAAGAATCTGAGTCAAAAGAGAAGGAAATTGAAAACCTCAAAAATTTGGTTGCAGAATTTGAATGTCGCCTGAAGAAGGAAATTGACAATAGTGATTCTGTTTCAGATGACTTGAAGAAGGAAATGAAACAGAAGTCAGATGAACTGGAAAGAGTAACGCTGGCACGAACACAACTGCTGCAGCAATTTAACCAGGCCCAGGAAGAGGTAGGAGGCAGATGGTGGCACCATTGCACTTTAGGGAAAGAGCACGTGTTCTTTCAAAAAATAAACAGACAAACAAAAACATGAAAGACAGCTTGGTGTCCTGCAAAGAGTCCTGGGCTGTTAGTCAGGGACCTGAGATCACATCCTGGTTTTGTCCTTGACCACACAGTCACTTAACCTTTCTGGACCTGGCTTCCTTTTCTGTGAAATGAACACATTGAACTACATAATCTCTAAGGTTTTCTCAGCACTATTCTACTTTGTTGCAAATGACCATTTAAAACCTCTGAGATTAGTAATCTTTACATATTTATGTCTTATTTGTTTTTGCATTTAAATCTTTGTCAGAATACTTTTAGAGCGCTTGCTGCTTAAGTTCAAATAATATTTGGACAATGTATCTTAAATGTAGTTTTTCTTTAGGGACTGGTCTTTCTATCAACCATACTTATACGGTAATTTACATGTGTTGGTCTTTCTTATGTATTAAACCAGAGTAGATACATTTTGATTTGGAAAGGTTTTTTCTAACAAAGTCTTATTTCTGAACTGCTAAGCAGTTTAGAAATAGTGGATGTTTTAGACTGGATGTTTGTGTACCCTAAAATTCTGTATGTTGAAACCTAATCCTCAATGCGATGATATTTGGAGGTGGGGACTTTGGGAAGGCATTTATGTCATGAAGGTAGATCCCTCCTGCATGGGATTAGTGCCCTTATAAAAGAGACTCCAGAAAGCTCCCTCATCCCGTCCGCCATGTGAGGACACAAAGAAAGGACACCTGTGATGTGAACCAAGAAGAGGGCCCTCAGCAGATACCAAATCTGCCAGCCGTGCGCCTCCAGAACTGTGAGACATAAATTTCATTTGTTGTTTGAGCCACCCAGTCTGTGGTACTTTGTTATGGCGGCCTGAACTGAAACAATGGAACAGTTAATCTGCTCTCTAATCACCAAACTTATGTCCCATTTATGACAGTACAGCAAATAAAGGCAAATGGAGGAAGATTCCGAATATTAACAAGTAATATTTTTGTTGGTTTTATGGGCATCTTAATAAAGGAATAAAAGGAAAATACTAGTAATAACATTGATTATTAACAATTAAATATACCATGTTCTTGCTATATTTAAATTACGAACAAAAAATTAAAAGTTTATGCCATCACTATAATTATGAAGTGAACTTATTGTAAAGGAGTTATAAATCTAAGTTAAAATGAGGAATAGCTAGAATACTGTATCAAGAACAATGCCAAAACAACCTTATAAAGTAGAAGTGATGTCCGTGTTATAGATGAGGAACTGACTCAAGAAGGTTGAATAACTTCCATCAGGTCACGCAGCATGGTGGAGCCAAGAATCAAATACGAATCCCTGTGATACAATGTTTCCTCTTTCAGGAAGCCTGAGTTCTAGTGATTCCACTTCAAAATTTCAAAGTGACCCTCAGTCTTAGCACTCATCTCCAGGCCTCATTTTATTTTTATTTTTTTTACTTTTAAAATAACAATAAACACACTATGTACTCTGCCAGATGGATAGGGGGTCAGATGATTGAGTGTCTCCTGTTGGAACACAACAGCACAGCTTCCCTGTCTGGGCAGAAGTGGAAAGGAAGTGCACACGTGGACTCAGCTCTGCGGGAGAAACCCTGAGAAGGAGAGAAGTGATGCTATTTGCTTCAAATGGGAGAGCAGCATTGGAGTTCTAGTGGAGGGACAGCAAGTTAAAGAGAGAAAGGTCAGGGTGACTAAACCAGCAGGTTTCTAACTCTTAAATCCCCCCAAAAACGGCAAGATGGAAGGTGAGGAGTAACAGATAAATGAAAACAAGTAGAAAAAAACAGAAGGGTCAAATCCAGTAAATATACCCTGAGCATCTATCCATGTGCCAGGCCCTGTGCTCGGCACTAGATGTGCAATTATGAACAAGTCTGACAACTGCCATCCCTGCTCTCAAAGAGGAATTTAAATAAAGTCTTATACAAGTAATTAAATTGACATCAAGAGGAGAGAATGACATAAACAGAAACTTTATTTAAAAAGCATAGACTGAAAACTAAAAAATTGGTCTTAAGGGCCTATATTAGTTTTTCATTGTTGCACAATAAATTATCCTCAACTTCAGTGGCTTCAAACAACATACATTTATGATCTCATCATTTCTGTGGGTCAGGGAACTGAACGTGGCTTAGCTGGGTACCTCTGGCTCAAAGCCTCTCATGAGGTTGCTGTCAGGTTGTCAGTGGCTGCGGACTCATCCAAAGGCTCAGCTGGGGGAGGACTGGCTTCCAGGCTCACTCTGCGGTTACTAGCAGGATTTATTTCCTCACGGGCTCTTTGGCTGAGAGCCTCACCACGCTGCTGGCTATTGGTCAGAAGCCTTCATCAGTTCCTTACAATATGGACCTCTCCATAGAACAGCTTAGCATGCGACAGCTGGCTTCCCTCAGAACAAGCATGTGAGCAAGAGCGAGAGGGCGAAAGAGTATGCCCAAGGGCTGGCCGAGTGGCGCAATGGTTAAGAACTGGCTTGGGACGCCAGAGGGCCCCGGTTCGGATCCCACATATGAGGGACAGTGACACTGCCCTCTACAGCTAAGATGCTGAACAACAGCTCAAC